TTTTGAAATAATTATGTAGAATATATTTAGGTAAGGGCTTTTTCTGAAAGAATATTATCGATAATATTTTATTGAATTTTTGAAAAGGGAAATAATTTATTTGGAATTTATTTTAAAGGATTTTTGAGGGGGGACGCCGAAAAGTTGGGAAATTTAATAATAGTATATATTTATTATATGGTATAATAATAAAGGAATATGGATAATAATAATGTATTTATAATAATTTATTAATTTATTAAACGCGCGCGTTGAAGAGAGATTTTTTTAAAAGTTTCGGCATAATAAATGTTTTAATTATTTTTTAAATTTAATTTTAATCAAATTTCCATTTTCAACCATCCTCCCGGGTCGTGGCACCATGTAATGTTGCTGGGGTGGGGGTTGTTGGGAAAGGAAGGGAACGGTTCGACGGCAGCTCCGGTTGTCCTAGTCCATGGAAGAACTAGGGCCGGAGCCCCGGATGGTTTACCCCTAAGTTAAATTATAAAATTTAAAGTAAATTCAAAATAAAATTTATTTAATTAAAAATATAAAAACAAATATATGTGTGAGGAATGGGGGAGAAGGGAAATTAAGTGATTGGAATTAAAAGTGAAAAATATATGGGGAGATGGTGTGGAAATAAAATGTTCGGCTGGCAATTAAAAGGCCACGCCTTATACCGTTACAACAGCAACAACAGGGCCTCGAAAATGAATTTAAATTGAAAAGAATCTAAGTAAAAATACCTGCAGCAACAACAATCACAGCAACAACAGCGTTCCCCTCTTCCCTTCAAAGCTCCAGTTGTTGGCTTTGCGATAGCGTTGTTGGCTTAATTTAAAAAGTGATTTTGAAATTCAGGAGGATTCAAGCTCCCACCTGTACAATTTCCAATTTGTGGAGGGCAGCGCAGTTTTGATACGAAGGCCTTATTTGTATCACTTAAGGAACAATCCTTCGGACAAGGAGGACATTTTTGTAGTTTTTGTGATGAAATAACTGTGTTGATATTATGAGGAGTTGAAGGATGAGAATATGCAACTACAGGTGAAGGAGCACATTGTGAAACCGTTACAAGTTGAGAGAATAAAAAATATATGGAGAAAGTTGTACAAATAATGCTGGAGGTCACCATTGCTACAACACTCCTCTTTTACTAAATATGTGTGTATTAAGGTAAAGGTTTCCGGAAAAGCTTTAAGTCCTTAGATTTGTAATTGTTCCTGAAAACTTAACTATTAATCGCAAACTTAAGTTTCCGGAAAACTTGGGGTCCGGAAACTTAATATATACCTAATTCCTGAGGTCTAAGTTTGTAATGTTTCCGGTAACTTAATTATTAGTCACAAACTTACTTTTTCGGAAAACTTAACTATTATACGCAAACCTAAGTTTCCGGAAAACTTGAGTTCTGCTTTTGTAATAGATCCGGTAACTTAATATATAATTCCTGAGGTCTAAGCTTGCAATGTTTCCGGAAACTTAATTATTCACAAACTTACTTTTCCGGAAAACTTAATATACTTGTACTATATAATACTTTAGTGTTTCCGGAAAACTTAAAATATTATTCTCACTAAAAAATAAAAAATGATTTCAAGATTTAAAAATCAAATGAGAATATAGTCCAAAATTGAGGATTTAAATGATTTATTTCAATGTTTGTTCTTTAAAACAATTACTAAATAAACGTGCAACTTGCAGAACTGGGTCGTCTTCACGTTGTTTTTGTTTCATTGTTTAAATAAAGTTTTGTTGTTATCCTTTAACAATGATGTTGTTTGTTGTTTTTGTTCTGATTTTTCATATAAATTAATTAAAAATGGCAAAAAAAATTAAAAAAATCCTCGTCATCTTCATTGTCTCTTGAAAACTTCGAGAATATATATTAATTAACAATCCCCTAAAGTTTTCTTTATTAAAATATTTTTTGTTGTTCATTGTTCTTGAATATTAACGCTAAGTAAATAAATACTTGACGAGAGAAAAATATTAAAAATAAAATGTTTTTATTTTATAATTAATTAAAGTTCCGGAAATTAAGTTTGTAATCCTTCCGGAAAACTTTTAAGCTTAAACTTGAAATGTATGTTTTCCGGAAAACTTGTATAAACTTAAGTTTAAACTTAAGTTTAAGCTCAAGGTTGAAAACTCTGAGAAACTTAACTTAAGTTTAAGCTTGAGTTTGAAATACTTTATTAACTTAAGTTCAAACTTAAACTTAGTTAAGTTAACACTAACTTAAACTTAAGTTCAAACTTGCACGCATATTATGTCTGTTTAATTTACAAACTTTAAAAATAACCAAGTTTTTAATAAAGTTTCAAGTTTGTAAAAATAAGTTTACAAACATGTCGGTATTTAAATTTAAAATTAAGCTTTAAAATAATTATTTTATTTTTTGTTGTTGTTGTTAAACAAATCAAAAAAGGGCGAACCTGCATATCGATGTTTTGCGATAACATAAAAACACCGATGTGCAAACGATTCGTCCTTTGTTTGACTGTTGCAAGATTTTTTTTTCAAAAATTTTAATTTAAAAATTTAATAAAAAATATAAAATTTTTTCCTCTCAGTTTAAAAATAATTTTAAAAATAAAATAATAATTGGTAAGAGGCAATAAATTCATCTTTAATATTCTCCTCATTTAATAATTTGATCTTTGCGCAGCTGTCATTTAAATAATAAAGACATACTCATTTTTTAAAATTTAATGTAAAATGGCGAAAATATTAGAAAAAATTATTTATAATTTTAATTATTCATATTTTCCTACATTTTTTGATTTTTATGTTCATTCTAAATAAAAATAAAATACCTAAAGTAAGGGTATTTATGCAAATTTTGAAGTGAATAGGAGGGTAAAGGTGTTGGAGGAAAGTGAATAATAATGCTAGGGGATTATTAAGAAGCTGTCTAGAAAATTGGAATTTAAGAGAAATTTTTTGTAAAATTTAAACCCTTAAAAAGGGACTAATAAAGAGTTAATATAAAGGGGCTATTCGGGCTAGTGTTGTTTCCCTCCCTCCCCTTCTAGACTGGTGCTGCTGCTAAAATTTTTTTTAAAAAAGAAAAAAAGGGGGAAGAGGACAACAACAACCATTTTATATATACTAATACACACATTAATTTCGAAATGATTCCAAAATGGTTTTATTGTCAAAAGGAAAGAAAAATGTGCAATTTGGGGTGCGCGGGATATGAGGCATTTGAACTGAAGGAAAAAATTTTTTGGAAAGAAAATTGGAGGACGCTTTAAGAGAGGAAAGTAAGGGGAGAAGGAGAGGATTTTGGAGTGAATGAGAGAAAAACGGAACGTTTTTGAAGAGGGGAAATGATCTTTCTTTTTTTTATTCTTTTTGACCCTCTCCATTTTTTTATTTGAAAGAAGCAAACCAACACCTTTTTAAAAAATTTTTTTTGAAAAGAGTAATGGCCGTTGTTTTTGTTTTGTTGTTTTTGGTGTTCAATTGAAAGAAGGAATTTGAAAAATAAAAATTTTGAAATGAAAATAACTCCAACTGGTTCGCTGTTTAAATTAAGAGTTGAAAAATGGAAGGATTTATGGCCTAGTGCAGTTTCCCTCCCTTCCTCTCCTCCCCTTCCTCTCACACACAAAAGCTCTAGTTCAATAGGTCCACTGTATTCCCAAAACCCATCAGAGCTATGATACCACATGCACAATCCCTGACTTTGGTTCTAATAGTCAAAATCGGGTCCTTATCGCCATGGCACACGAACTGAACTTCGAAATTAGAATTTTGGGCTTTAATTATTCTCGAAATTTTTTTTTAATTTTTTCCGATTTTTGGATATGCTAGGGATGATTTTCTAATAAAATAAGATACTAACTAGATACATAAATAGCATAAATATATAAAATAAAAAGGGCATAAACCAAAAAAGAGAGAAAAGGGGGGTAAATAACAACATTTAGGAACAACGAAACAACAACAAAAAGTGTCAATTTTATTCTCAACTAGAGGAATGACCAAATGATTGATGTTGGGGATATATCTGTTCTTGTCTCTTTTTTAAGTCTCTCGTGGGGGTTTTTTAATGTTTTGTTGTTGTCGCTAAAAATGTGAGAAGAACGCGCAGGTTAATGCTCTCTTGTTGTCTCAGAAATTTTATGCTATGTATATATATCTCTTTCAAGGGCCGGATTTATGGGGAAGAATATTAGAGATTAATCTTGAAAGGTTACTCTCAAAAAGCTTAATAGGATAAGAGTGGGTGAAAGCCGAAAGTCTCGATATACAGTTAAGTTTAAATTCGACTCTCGATACTGGTGAAGGATGTTTTTTTGAAGGATGTTTTCTTGAAGCATTAAAAACGCAACAGTTTGAACTCTTCACACCTTTTAAGTTTCTAATCTTGCAGTCTTACCTTTATATTAATATCCAATTTACTCACCAAAAATCAAGGACATTTAAACTCAACCGAAATTCCAAAAACAAAACACGCATTTTATTTTTATTAAAAAATTTTTTTCAATAAAATTTTATACAAATATTTTACAAATTATATCAACAAAAAATAATTGAAACCTAATAGTTTTTAAAATTCTTATATTATTTTAAAAGAATTATTACTTAAACAAGAATTGGATAGGGCTAGGATACACCAATTTAAAAATAAAAAATAGGAAATAATATAGGTATGTACATACAGCATATAAAAGAGATCGGACCGAGACAAGATCTCGATCAGAAATCATGGTTTTTTCGAGATAGCTCGAACGATTCTCGTACAACTTCCAAGTCTAATCTCTAGTATATACTCTATTAATTGTTCTTTAAATAATTACCCCCTTAATAATTAGCAAAATAATTAGCAAGTAATTAGTAATAATTAAATAATTAGCAAGACGTTGATAAAACTATCAATTATTATCCAGGTTAATTAATAGAGTGAATTAGTAATTAAAAAATACATCGGAAAATATTACTAAAACCCCCAAAAAGAATTATAACATTAAATACTCAAAAAATATTTTCACACAAATAAAATTTTATTTGGATTGTTGATGAACCACTTGAAGACGTTTAACAGGAGCAACAATAGGGAAAGAAGTAGCGCGATTTTGAGAAGCACAAGAGGCAGCTGTAGGTAACGGCAATCTTTGATGGTAAAATTCTTCGGCTTTAAAGTGCTTGGAATAGCAATAATAATGCCAAACTAAGCTTTGACCCATCCAGTGAATACATAAAAGCAAGAGGAGGGCTAATTCTAATTGACGAATTTCTGAGTTTGTTAAATTGTAGTAGGAAAGAGTTGAAGAAAATTGGGGGTATTCTTCTTTCTTGATAAAGCCATTGAACAATTGTGGTCGGATATCTAATAATAAAACTGTACAGAAGAAGATGGCCAGAGCGATAATTGTGACACCCTTAAAAGGAAAATGAATGTTAGTATTGATATATATTTTTGATTAAATTTTTGGAATTGGATGGGTTCTAAACTAAAGTTCCTAATGTTCCTCAACAAAGGTATGCCGAAATTAGCTTTAAAAAGCGAAGGACGAACTGCAAAACTCCGATCTTAGTTTTGTGATCGAAATGCGAATCCAAAAAACCCGAAAATCGGTGAGGTTAAACCTTATGTCAAGGGTCTTGATCTTGAGTTCCAGTTTTATGTAGTCATTTATCTAACCTCTGAAGGGTCCATTTTAATTTTTAAATGATTATTAAATAAAATTGATTACGTTAATCACAAGGTAGATCAAACAATAAGAAGGCTTCCCAGCCAAATTTGAATAAAAAAGTGCCAAAGCTGCAAATATGTGAAAGAGTGCAGGAGTGCCAAAACTCCAAAATTGATCAAAAGATAAAGATATAATAAACAAAAACATATTTATTAACAAAAGTCCAAAAGCAAAACTAAGTGCAAAACGCTTAAAAAATTTTTTTTGAATTTTTTTAAATTTTTTAAACCTCCGTTCGTGCAGTGAAACAGCCAAGGGAATAAAGCTTTAAAATTGTTTATAAAAATAATTATCGAAAATAAACTTAAGTTTGTAAAATTAACCTCATAATATTTAAATTGTGCCATTGTATCAGATAATTTCACTTGGGAATTATTTGTTTGTAGCCTTTAAAAATATCTTAGATTGTAAAATTTTAATTAAGTTTTACAATCTAACTTTTCGTAAATTAATTGAGTTTACAATTTAATAACTTTACAACTTAAGTTTACAATTTCCGGAAGGATATCACTTAAGTTTCCGAAAAATAATATACCTTCCGGAAAATATAAATTTGTAATTTCTGAAGAGATTCAAGTTTGCAATTTACGGAAGGTATATCAAGTTTATTAAATATGTAGTTTCCGGAAAATAAATAAGTTTAGAAGTTAAGCGCAAGTTTACAAGTTCCAGTAGGAAAACTTAAGTTTACAATTTCTTAAGTATCCGGAAAATAAGACACCTTCCGGAAATTTCAAGTTTGTAATTTTCGAATAAATTCAAGTTTACAATTTCCTGAAGGAATATTAAGTTTATTAAATTACAAATTAATTCAAGTTTATATTAAAATTGTAAACTTGAAAAAGGTTTGAACTTTAAAAGTAAAACTTAACAAAAAGTAAAAATACAATTTAAAGTATAAACTTGAAATTACGAGAAATATAATAAAATTAAGCCTAGACACACACACCTACATATTTCAACGTCCTTTTGCTTCCACGTACGCGCCGTCCGTTCCTGCTTTTCCCTCCCTCAAAAAATATAATAAAATAATATATAAATTAATATGAGAAACAATTATATTTTATTTCGAAGGCTTTTTTCCTTTCCGGCTTTATGTAAAGACTTGAAGGGAGCGCTTAAAAATTTTCTGTTGAATCACACAGCTATGTAAACCTTAAAAGGGAGGGAAAAGCAAGAACGTTATTTAATGAGGAAAATGGCTTGAAAAAGAGGATGATGAATTGAATTTTTTGATGGATTTTGGGATAAAATATTTATATAATTATTTTTATCATAAATATTATTTAATCAAAATATTATTGATAATAATAAACACTTTAAATAAATATTTTCTGGAATGAAAAGTATTTCGCTATGGAACAACTCTGGCGGATCCTTGGAAATCTCAAAATATCCATCCGCAATCCGGATCAAAATTTAACTTTTCCGAAATTTTGGATTCCCGAAATTTATTCAGATTCGGATACCTTAATCAGCAAACCCTTTTAAGGAAACTCCCTAAAATATCATTATAAGCGAGGTGTGCTGGAATCACTTTAAAAATAGAAACTGGCACCCTTCAAACTCTTGAAATTATTGCTTATCTACCGTTGTTAATAATAAAATGGCACTACTAAAAATAAACTTTCAAGCTATATTAAATCTTGAATCATGCTCTAAGACGATCTCATTGTTTCGTATATGTGCCCCTTTCTTGAACTTATAAGATTAAAGAGGTACTCTAACTGATCCCAAAATTAAGCAAAATTACTTATTAAAATATAAAAGTTCAAATTTAAATTTTATTTTGTGTCAATTTAAACATATATACAGATATATATAAAAATTAAATATATAAAAATTAAAAGGTTTTTAACATTATAAAATGAATAAATTCAAACAAGAAAAACGTAGGTATATAAACATTAATATAGTTGACTCATTGCACTTTAAATTTTTTTAAATCATGAATGAATGAATCCCCCTCGTTATAAAAATTATTTTATAAAGTGCTTTAAATTATAAAATAATTTTCTACAAAATTTATAAAAATTAAAAAAAATTTTATAATATTTATAGGTGTATTCATTTAATTTTGCATGTTTTTAGTGTAGTTTTTTGACCATAACTTTTTGTCCTTACAATTAGAATTTTTTTAATTTGGCATTTTTATAGCTAATTTAATACTCTATCGAATGATATTAAATTTACTTAAAAATGTCCAAGGATTCGAGAGTTATCAAATAAAAACTAAGGTGTGTTCATGAGTCAACCATGTTGAACATGAGTAAATCAAATTAATTTTAAATTAAAAAAAAAGATCAGAACTTTGGATAAATAATTAAAATATTAAAAAAGTATTCAAAAAATTAAATAAAAAAAAATATTTAAAAAAATATTCCCCTAAACATGATATCCCCCTCCTCCACCTCCATGTTGCCGTTCTCTCAATAATCTTTCCCTTAGCATAAAACTTGAAGCATTATATACCACCAATTCAAACCAAATATTTAAAACTTGAATAACCAGCATTATACAAGCTATAATCCCTGTGACTACTCGAGGGTATTCTGAATTTTTTTTTAAAAATTTTAAAAAATTTTCGTCAAGCTTACGATGTGTAGTTTCATGAAATTTATAGTCGGTCAATTCGTTAACTTGTCTTTCCCAAAATTCTGGGTTTACTAAAAGCATTGTGAACAATACCAAAATGTAAATGGATCCAATACCTACTGCAATACCCTATTAATTTGAATAACTTTAGAATACTTAATTCAAAGCTTGTTAGCTATCTACTTGTTAACTATCTGTATTATTCCCTCCCAAAGGCATGGATTTACCTTTTATAAATAAGCACACAAATTATCTCTCACTTTTGATTTATATCTGTTAAGGTGTAGGTTTACGTGCTGGAATTCAAGTTGAAGATTAAGGAAAGTCGGGTTTCTGGGTCGTGGTTTTCAAATTTCCTTTGGATCGGGATTCAGGTTAAAACAAAGCCCAGATATCGAGAATTGGTTAGCCCAACCTATCCCTCGTTGATGGAACCCCTCTCCGAAGCTCATCTTCTAATTGGGAAAAAAAGGAAGACTTCTTCGGACGGCCCTCCCTGAAATTCTTATTCGAATTAAAAAAGGGAAGGCTGGAAGATTGAAGGAAGAGATTCAGAAACTTGTAAATTGCTTAGTTCCAAAATTAAAAAATTACAAACATTAGTGATTAAAAAGGGCCAATAAATCTTTGCATTCCGGCTGTAAAAAGCATAAAAAATAGATGCATATGCAAAACAAAAAATTACAGGCAAAACAATTAAACCCCAACGGCCATATAATAAACAAATAATAAAAAAACAAAGGGAGAGAAAAACACCAATTCCTCCAATAATATTTGCGCCCATCTAAAATTTTTTTTAAATTATTTTGAATTTAATTTTAATTCTAACCGCCACATGAATAGCACAACAACAACGATTTCTGGGGTCCTCGTAAAGCATAATAGGTGCTATACCGTTTTTACGATTTATTGTTGACACTGGTATTTTTTAGTATAATTTAATCTTAAAATTTTATTTAAAAAATTATTTTTTAATTAAAAAAACAATAAACAAATAATAAAAAAACAAAAAAAAGAAAAATAATTAAATAAAAAATATAATATTAAGTAAAAATTGGGTATATAAAAATAGAAAAATGATTATAAAAAAAAATTTTTTCCAATTTTTCTCAAAAGGGCTATAAAATGACAGCAACTTGAGAAAATTAAAATAAAATTATAAAGAAAATGCTTTAACGTTTTTAAAACTTTTTGAGAGAAACTAAAAATAAACTTATGCTCCAGCAACTACATATGTGTAGTTGGTTTTTCAATCATAACTTTTTGAATTTTTAATCAAATTTTTTCATTTATCGTTTGTTTTGTAGCTAATTAAATTCTCTATCCAAAAATTTTGAAATTATCTTTAAAACTTTATTAGTTCAAAAGATATGAATTTTATAAGGAAGCTGGTTCTGCTACCCATTTGTCGATTTTTATAAAATGTACCATTTAAATTGTCGCCGAGGGAATAAGCAAAATATTAGTAGGATAAAAAAAGAATAACAATAATAAATATAAAATAAACTTACTAGAAAGAGAAGGATATTTTTTCAAGCATTTTATTTATTTTTTACGGGTCGTCTGACAGCAAAAAGCAAGTAAACAGGGACAAAAAAGGAGATGACACGAGTTAAAAAGGGAGGAAAAACAAATAATATCGAGAATAAATAAAAGAAAATTTTAATAGAATTAAATTTCTTAAAATTAATTAGTTTAAAAATAAATGAGGCAAATTAAAGAGGCAAATTGTGGAGAATGAGAGAATACCGTAATCTTTGAAGGAAGAGAGGAATTAATTAGAACTTTGAGAAAAAATCTAGTGTTGGCTTAGTAGCTTAGTGGGTAAAGTGCGGGCAAAAATTTTTTATGTCGTGGGTTCGAACCCCGGCTGGGTTCTTAGTTGTTTTTGGCCTTTTTAAAATAAAATCTCGACATTTAGAGTCATTTAAAAGCATAACTTGATAAAAATAAATTTTTTGGAAGGTAAGCAATGACCTAGAATGTTATAAATTGACTAGAATAGTACATAAATGTATGCACGGAATAAAACCTCCTAGCATTTATTTTTTGTGGACGTTGGCTGTCTTTAGTAATATTCCCTAGTAGTAAAGCACTCAATGGCCGCTTCTTCTCAAGAATGGAAGAGAATAAATATTTTATTTAGAAAATATAAAAATGTTCCAAAGGCATGGGGCAAAATTTCTCTAACATTTAAGGAGTAAATAAGCGAATTTAAACTTTTAAAGTTTCAAAATTTAAAAAGAATGAGTTGGCTTGTGATAAAACTTTTTGGGAGAACATTAAAAAAAACTCCTATTTGGCTACTAAATATATTTTTTGGCCAATTTTTAAAAGAGAAATTTTAAAAAAGAGAAAAATGGACAAATGCGTCAGCTGTTGAAAAATGCTTTATACTAAAAGAGCCAGGAAAAAAACGTTTGGATGTGAGATAAGGATAGAGAGAGGGAGATAAATTTTTTTGGGAGGATAAGAAAAAATATGAAGGAAAAAAGGAAAAATAAAGGAAATGGAAAAAATGGTGAAAAAATAAAGTGAATAGAGAACATGATTGAGAGTCCCAGACGAGGGTTGGATTAAAGCCCATAATTCATTTAAAAGGCCATATTTTCTAAAAGATTTTGATTTTATTTGATAGGGAATTAAATTTTTTAAATTATTGAGGAAATGAAATTTTAGAAAAATAAACAAGAAGGATTTAATTTAAAAATTAATTAAGGGATTAAAGTTTAGTGAGATAATGAGTTTAGTTATTTGGCCCTAGCTTCTTTTTCTGTGAATAAATTTTTTTCCTTTTTTCAAGGTTTTGTAGCAAATTTAATTCTCTATCAAACAAAGCAAAAATGACGTCAAAAGGTTAATCCAACCATGAGTTATGATTGAAAGACTCGGGTGTGTTTCTAGTCTTGGGCAGCCTCTTAAGGGTAGACTAGGTTCTATTATGCTGTACTGGGATAAAATAAAAATAAACGTAAAAAAGACTTGGCCAATGCTGTCGTAATGCTTTTGTTATGTTTTTATAAAAATAAAAAATGGCCTGGAGAAGTTAGAAAAAATGAACGTACGTTAAGGGCATTTTAAATTTAATTTTAAGGAAATTAAGTTTTTAATAAAGTTGGATCGTTTTTATTATACAGTATTTAAATTTAAAAATTCTTTCCACTAGGGTTGACGGTTCCTGGAAATTCTTCGGATATCCGAAACCGAACCGAATAACCGAAGAACCGAGAAATCCTCGGTTCTTCGGTTCTGTTTGGTCCAGAACAGACAACCCTACTTTCCATTGTTTCATTTTTATTAATTTATTTAAAGCCTTTTTCTAATATTCTTTTGCTTTTTTATTGTTAAAAGATTAAAAATAATATTTTTATTCACCTTATCATACCATATAAGGCATACTAACACAAGCACACTCATAACAGCCTCACCACGTGTATTTCCTATCCCAACCCCCCACAAAGTCAATAGTTTATATTTTATTTATTATTTACCTTTATTTATGTTCATTATTTATTATTTATTTTCAGTTCTTTGAATTTTAAATTTTAATTTTTTAAATCAAGCTTTATTTGGATAAAATCGGATAAAAGCCTCCAAACAGGCTTCTAGTCAATTTATCTGTCCCGTTTTTCATCTAGATTAACCAAAAGCCTTTTATTCTAGACTTGGTAATTGACATTGACTTAGGTATCCAGCAGGGATCCTGCCGTCCCGATTTCCCGAAATCTGGAATTTTGTTTTTTGATCGACAGGATCCCTTGTATCAGGATATTTACGGCGGATATCCTCAGGCATTTTGAAATTATTCGTATCCTTATCATTATCCATTTCCATTCACTTTAGAACAAGCAAGTTTAAAATTTGCATGACCTAGACTCAACTGGCCCTCATAAAAAAGGATGAGTTGCAAAATTGATTAGAGAACCAAACTTTCTTCCCAGTCTCTCTCATTCTTATAATTTCTGTTATTTAATGCTAGTATGCCGTCATATATTTCAAAAGCTGCTGTAATATTGGAAAAGCACAGTCATTTTCGCGTAGCTATATCCCCCCTTTTTCCTTTAAAAAATTTATTTTATTTAGCCTTATTTTGAAAAATTGTAGGTAGTGTCTGCCTTTTCATTTTTATACAAACTCAGCTTTCCTTTTTTATCAATATTCACCGAAAAAAACATTTTTTCAACAAAAAACCCAATAAATAAAACCTTGAAACAAGCCAAAATCTTTGTTCTTTATTATTGACAGACGGGCTGTTTGAGTCTGGAGATTTTTAATTTTTTAAGATTTTCTTTTCCTCGTCATTTTTGGTTATTACTAGAGTCCGAACTGAGAGTGTCTTATGAGAATCTTACAAGATATCTAGAAGCCTCTATCTCGTTCATAGAAATTTTCTTCGAGATTTGTTCTTAATCCGGTCTCTAGTCTTTTATTTTTAATTTACTTTAAATATTCCACTTCCCTGTTATTTTTGGTTATTTTTCATCACATTATTACCCTCTCATTTATCACATGCTACCAATTAATTAATTAATTTTTTGCCCTTAACTTTTCCTTCCTTTTTTTAATTTAATTAATCTAGCAGAATTTTTTAATTAATTAAAATAAATTTTCCAAAATTGACTAAAAATCGTAAATCGATTTTATTATTTACCCATTTACCAGCAAAAAAATTTTTTTTTGAAAATTTTTTTTATATTTTTATTCTGTTAAGGCAATAAATAAACATTGAAAAAGACAACAGAAAGGGATGGGGGGATTATCTCTCTTTCCCCCCACATAATTTTTTTCTCTATTTTCAATCCCCATTCTCTCTCCCTTTTTTCAATTCTTTTGTCACATTTTTCTCTGCTTTTAATTTAAACATCCTTGACATTTGACTATCCAACTATGCTTTTCCCATCATTTTTTTTTCATTTTTGTTTTTAAATGTTTAGATTAATAAAGGAGATTATTTGATGAATTCATCAAAAATTAAACACAATTTTCCCATTATTTTTTACAGGGGATCTTTGTATTTGTTAACGTGTCACGTTGAGATTTTTAAGCTTGATGTAGCCATATCTCTTCCTATAATTACAATAAAATCTTTCTATGTAACTTTCCTCCAGTCATCCGGTATCCTCCTACATGTCACGTTGTTAAAATCATTAAATTATTGTTAAAATTATCTTTCCTAAACATTAGGAAGAATACCACTTCAAAATCTCCCAGTCAAAATCTCTTCCAATATTTACATAAAAATTGTCAAAGATATTTTATGCCATTTTCTTGTTTAAAATTGAAATTTAGTCACATTATTCATTCATTTTTTAACAAAATTTATTTCAAGATTTCAGTTAAATTCAAACGGGTTTAAAAATAAACCACTTTTAAGGCCACTTGAAAATGTTTAGTAAGCTTTTCCTTAAACTTAAGTTTTTAAGTTTATAAACTTAAGTTTATGAATAATTTAAAAAAGTTTAAAATAAAACTTAAGTTTAATTAATTAAATTACAAAGTTTGCGCACTTAAACTTAAGTTCAACTTAAACTTAAGTTCAATTTCTTCGTCATTTTAATTTTCTCAAACTTTAATTTGTAAAATAATACAAACTTAAGTAAACATTCTTTAAGTTTGTACTTTCCTTTTTTGACAATTTCTTTTTTGGAAATTAAATACCTGGTACTACCACCCTTACAAATTAATTTATAAATAATTTATTTTGATAAATAAATTTATTTGGTAAAGTGCAAGGTTGTAAGGTTCGGCTAAAGATTATTAAATTCTTAGGCGTATGTATATTTAATTGAAAAAAAATTTTTCTTTACACAAATCCTTTATTTAAACAACACAATAATTCTCTTCTCCTATTGTCTTTATATTAAATTTTAAAAAATGTTTCAAATATTTTTCTAATTTTAATTAATGTCTCGTCTATTTAATCAACTATTTAATCAACTAAAATTTTCCTCCCCTTCTCCCTTTCTCTTATTTAATTAATTTAATTCTTAATTCCCTCAACTACCAACAAAAAAAATTTTAAATTTACTTGCGTAATTTTTTGTTTATTTTAATTTTATTATAGTGATTGATTGAAAGAACGTGCTCTCGTAATGTCGAGAGTCTAGTTTGAACCCTTTTAATTGCAATAAAAATTTTAGAAGAATATAATTTAATATAAACAGTTGGCAAACTTAAGTTTAAACAAAAAAAATTTTTAACTTAAAAACAAGTTTTAACAATAAAACTTAAGTTTTATTAAGTTCAAGTTAATAAATTTAAGTGTTAATAATTTGAACATTGCAAAACTTAAGTTTTTAAGTTTGTTAAGTTTGAAAACTTAAGTTTTTAACAAGACGTAAAAACAAGTTTTATTAACCTGAACATTGCAAACTTAAGTTTTTAAGTTTTCAAGTTTTTATTTTTCAAGTTTGTAAACTTGTTCTGTGTGTTTTTTCATAAATGACTATAAAACACATATTTTGTATTTTTAATATTACAAAAACACAAATCAAATACAAAACATTTATTACAATACTTTCAACTTTATTTTTATAATTGTACAATTGTATCCCAAAAAATATATGTATTTTTAGTAGTCAGCTGTCTCAAGTAAACAGCCGTCTGCACGTTAGAATCAAAATTTCGTCTAACGCTAAATTTTGATAAATTTAAAGTACATTTATGAGACGTAAATATTTTTTAATGAATTATTATTTTTTAAATTTATTTTTTTTAGAAAATTAAAAAAAATTTTATTTTGAATGTTCACACTCCATTTCTCCGTTTCTGTCCCTTTCCCCATATTTGACGACCAATTTGTTTTTGTGACTGGTTCCCATGAAAGCCTTGGATCTTGGGATACTCGTAGAGCTTTGCGTTTGGAAAAAGATGATGAAAAGTGAGAAAATTAAATTTTTAAAAATAAAATTTTAAAATTCTCTTCTAGCCATTGGACTGGTATAACAAATTTGAGCGTGGATACAGTCAAATTCCGTTATTTTATTGGCAATTATTTGCAGTCGGATGCGACAAAGGACCCAGTACTGGTTATTTCTAAATGGGAAGCGCATTTTACACCTGTGAGCTTTTTAAAAAATAAAAGAGATTGCAAACTTAATAACCTATAAAGTTTCAAAGCTTAAGTTTGTAAATATATTTTTAAATATTTTCAAGTTTTAAAGCTTCAGGAGTTAAGCTTGCACACTTAAAAACTTAAGTTTTTATTATAACCTAAGACTAAATTTTTTAAGCTGTTTATAGTTTCCGGAAACTTAAGTTTACATATTTCTAAGTACAGTATGTTCTAAAACTTAAGTTGTTAAGTTTCCGGAAATCCAAAAACTTAAGTTTGTAAAAATTATGTTTTCTTATAAACTTAAGTTTAGATTAAACACTAAAACTTAATTATACTTTGCAAACTTACAAATAACCCTAACAAACTCGATAATAATTATTTAGCGGTGTGTAATGCCACCAGTTGAAGCAAGCAAAAGTGGCGTTTGCCGTGCCAATCTACGCGATGTTTTTGGGTACAATTCGGGGAGTGAACAAATAAGTGACAGCTTTGTTTTGGGGGATGATGTTCATCATATTGCTTTAACTGTTTCTGGTGCTGCTCTAAAATTTTATAAGAAAAAGCATGAGCTACAAAATTATCGGGTCAAAATTGTGCCTTTTGACCTCAGGAATAAATTTGTGAGGATCTTTTTTTTGGAATTTGGGGGTTGGATAGGGGAGTTTTGAGGTTGGGGTTTGGTTCTCTTGTTTTAGAGGCTCTTCCCCTTCTTTCCTTTTGGACCTGATTTTCTCCCAGCAGTTTTGGGAAATGCTTCAGGATGGGTTCTTTACTTCCCCTCTGGGACTTGTTCCTGAATATAGGTACTTAGAAGTGATTAGGCTAACCATAGAAGATAATATATTCTTTAGGACATGACCAACCTCGACGACGATGAAGAACTCAATGCTGAAGATGAAACTCCGTTGCCGTCATTGCCTAGCCATTCCTGCACAGAGATTGCCGTAAGACCTAAACAACATCAGAGAATGGCGCCTTCTCTCATTTTTATTTTTAGGCCTAAAATTTCTCTCATAATTTCTTCTATTTTTATCATCCTTTAAAAATCATTATTTGATCTTTATTTCTCTCTCTTTTATCTTAAAAGTAGAAGCTCTGTAGAATAGACAAAAGCTTGTTCAAAAACGGATATGTATCCGTAATCTAATGCTCAGAGTGACGAGGGTGAACGAGAGGAAAAGCACGATGTTTCATCACGTATTAAGGTGAAGCTTGTTGTTTTATTTTCCTTTATACACTTGAAACTTCTAATTGAAATTGCAAGTTTGTTTGCTTATTTCATTTTAACTCTCGGCTTCAGATAAAGCTTCTTATTCTTAAGTTTTAGTTTTCAAGTTTGCAAGTTTAAATTTAAGTTTTACAATTCTAAGTTTTAATTCTAAAACACGCTTACTTTTTAATTCAAGTTTGTAAACTTGAAAACTTGAAATTTACAACTTAAAAGTTTGCAAACTTGAAACTTGAAAGAAAAGTTTCAACTTGAAACTTGAATCGTTCAAACTTGAGAGTTTCTATTAGTTAAATTTTCACAATTCAAGTTTTACAATCTAGTTTTATTTATTACAAACCTTTTCTCTACTTTTAAACAAAGCTTGTTGAAGCCTAGAGTTTTTCTCTTCACTCAAAAAATCTTATTTAAGTTTTAAACAAAAATTTAAAATGGCCCGCCGCCTCTCTCACCGCTGTTTTGTTGATCAGCGGCGTCTGGACGGTTTCTCCAAACTTTTCGCGCAGTTGTTTTTGCGCCGTAACTTTATTATTTTTTGTTTTTTTTTTTGCTTTATAGAAATTCTAATCCATTTTATTAGATTCATTAGATTCTCTTATTACCTCTTAAAATTTATCTTTTCTATTTAAAATTCTATCTCTAAGTCTTAAAAATTTTCTTTTTCTTAAATTTCTTATTATTTTTTTCTCTCAAAAATCATTTTTCCTTCTTTCAGGCATTGACACAAGCCTGCCCAAAATTTAAAGCTCAGCAAGAGTTTGGCGAACTTTTTCAAAATTCTATCGACTACCACACTTTTCGCACTTACTCTGTTGCTGTCGAATTTTTGGTTAATTTTAAAAGAAATCCTTTAAAACTCCATAATTTTCAGAGTTTTCGTATCGAAGTTTACTCCAACCAAAACAACGATTTGATAGCTCAGGGATATGCTTTGCCTTCCTCCCTTCACGATACTTATGGGAAGACTTCTGTTCCTTTGCTCACAAAACGAGGGGTGCCTACTGGGAAGATTTACTGTGAGAGAAATTTTTTAATAAATTTTTTAAAGAAGTTTTATTTAAACAGTCAGTTATCTGTTTATTCGGCCTATCCGTTTACCACATCCACGCCCTATCATGCACAATTGCTATGCAAAGTATTGGAAGAAACGAGTAACCTTGGAAGTTGGACATCGAGGAATGGGCGAATCCTATACAAAGTAAGGAGGGAAATTTAAAAAAGTCGAAATTTCGTAATTGATTTCGAAACTGATTTCGAAATTTCGGAATTCATTTCGAAATTGATTTCGAAATTTCGGAATTCATTTCGAAATTGATTTCGAAATTTCGGAATTCATTTCGGAACTTATTTCGAAATTTCGGAATTCATTTCGAAACTGATTTCGAAAACGAAATTTTTCACAAAATTTCAAAAAAAATTTTTTTAACTAGGTTCGCCGTCGCCCGCGAAAACACACTTCATTCGCTCAATTCAGCAGCCAAAAGGGGTGCAGATTTTGTAGAATTTGATGTTCATTTAACCAAAGATTTAATCCCTATTGTATATCACGATTTTCACGTAATGGTTTCTGTCGCCAAAAAACGAACAAATACAGAAAGCAGCAATAGTAGTAGTATAGATTCTGATGGGAGAATTAAAAGCAATAATGGGTCTGTTTCTCCCCCTAATTCTACAACAACAACGAATTCACCTTCTGTGGATTTTTATCAATTGGCAGTTAAAGATTTAAATTTGAATCAGTTGAGACTGTTACATCTTGATCATGTTAAACATAAAGAGGTGGAGAATTTATTTTGATTTTTATAATTTCGAAATCGAGGGGATATTTCGAAATTTCGTAAACTTCGAAATTTCGTAAATTATCGAAATTTCGAGATTTTTCGAAATTTCTTCGAAATTTCGTGTAATTTTTGATTTTGAAATGGAAAATTCTTAAAAATATTTTTTAAAGTCGAGCAATGTTGACCAAACAATGAATGGCGCTTCAGCACAAAAATATTCTTCCCATCATGTTACGGGTGAACATGACGAAGCTGAGGAACACAGGCCTTTCCCAACATTGTTGGAGGCGTTAAAGAATGTTTCACATGATGTTGGGTTTAATATTGAGGTTTGGATATTTTAAGAATATTTTTAGTAAGAGTTGAGGGATATTTCGAAATTTCGCATTTTTTCGAAATGTCGGATTTTTACGAAATTTCGGATTTTTTCGAAATTTCGTATTTTTTACGAAGTTTCGCGTTACTTTCGATTTAACTCAAAATTAAACAATTCATTATAATTTTTCGAAATTTAATAAATTTATTTCAGATAAAATACCCTCAATTAATTGTTTCTGGAGAAAATGAAGTTGAAGGTGGATATATTGAACGCAACGAATTTCTGGACATTATCCTCTCTGAAATTTTAAACAATGCGGACAATAATAGACATATAGTTTTTTCGTCGTTTGATGCTGATATGTGCAAAATGTATTTTTTAATATTATTTTTTATCGAAATTGAGAACGTTTCGAAATTTTACGAACTTTCGGAATTTTCGAATTTTTACGAAATTTCGAAATTTTACGAAATTTCGAAATTAAAAATTCCTTTTAAGGATTTCTGAAAAGCAAAAGAAATATCCAGTGCTATTTTTATGCCTTGGCAAGCAAACACGTTACCCTGATTATGAAGATGAAAGGACACGTTCATCCCTGACCGCTGTGAAATTTACTTATTCTTGTGGGCTTATGGTGAGAATTTTTTGATATTTTTTTAAAATTTTTTCCGAAATTTTTAAAATTTCGAATTAACTCGAAATTTCGTTGGTGAAAAATTTTTTTGAATTTTTTTCTTAAAATTTTTTTTCGAAATTTCGAATTAATTCGAAATTTCGTTTTAATGATAACCTTTCGAAACTTAACAAAAATATTTTTGTAGGGCGTCAACTTCCACAGCGAAGATCTTCTACTCGACCCAACACCAGTTTCTAAAGCTAAAGAGCTTGGACTAATCTCCTTCGTTTGGGGAGATGAATTGGTTGAGAGGAAATATTTGGACTATTTTAAATACAAAGTTGGGGTTGAAGGAATTATTTATGATCGGTTTGAGAATTTTAGTGAAAAAATAATTTTTTAATTTTAAAGTATTGGGGAAGGAGAATCAAGAAAAAATGTTTTTACGTTAGAAAAGGCAATGAGAGCCCAACTTTTTTCTTCCAAAAAATCTTCCTTTGGAAAGAAGAGTTCGTCCCCTCCAAGATGTTTTTCACATAACCAATTAAATAGTCAAGCAATTTCTTCTTTTGGTCCTGGGAATAGAACAAGAGGAATGAGTGCTTCTGTTTGGTCAAATGAATTTGTTGATCAGAAGTGGGTGTTTTTCAGAACTTTTTTCTGAATTTTTTTCAGAATTTAACTTCAGAATTTTTTTTCTGATTTTTCAGAATCAGAATTTCTGAATTTCTCAGAATTTTTTCAAATCAGAATTTTTCAGAATTATTTTCAGAACTTTTTTTTAGAATCAGAATTTATTTTTCAGGATCAGAATTATGACCAGAATTTTTTCATGATCAGAATTTTTTTTCAGAATTTAACAATCAGAATTATTTTCAGAATCAGAATTTTTCAGAATTTTTTTCAAAATCAGAATTTTTTCAGAATAAATTTCCTTAATTTAAGCTTTGGCCGTAGCAGCATCGATGGAAGCCCTGCAATGTTTTCTATAGGCGAAACAGACATCGAACAACAACAACAAATCCAACAACAAGACCCCCAACAACATTTTCCAATCATTCGCCGTCACAATTCTTCCCAAGCCCAAGGAACTTTTGGTTTCTTGCCAGTCCTTCCCGAAGCTTTATTGAAAACACAAAATGGGGGCAATATAAGCAACAATACAAGTATAAGCAGCAATAACAGCAGTACAACAATAAGTAGTGAATCAAATGAAACATTTAATAATAATGATATTGAAATGGTTACAATGAGTAATAATAATAATAATAAGAGATTTGTGGCTAGTGAAATTCGAAGGAAAAAATTTTTTCTAAGAAGGTGCAAAAATTAAATTAAAGAAAAAAATAAATTAAAAAAAGCTTTTGTTCTTTTAAATTTAAAAAATAAAATAATAAATTAAAAATACCCCAGAGAACTTATAAATAAATTAAAAAATAATTTTTGTAAAATCATTTTTGTATACTAAATATTATTAAATAAATATTGTAATACTTGTATTGAATTTACAAATTTAAAAAAATTAAATGAATATACATTATTTTGTTCAAAATACTTTTTTTGTTCCACAAAGCAATCTTCCAATTTCGACGTCTACATCCCTTTGAAAGACCTGCGCCATAGTAGTCGTGCCATAGTCCTTGCCTTTCTTTCCTTTGATTGTTTTTCGCTTGGCGCATCTATATTTTGGACCATAGGACGACTTTTATGTGAATGTGTTACTCCAACTGAATATTGGTTAATTTTGAGTTGCTTTGTTTTTTGTGTCCGTAGATTGCTAATAGACTCTGCGAATATTTTGCAAGGATAAACCAACATTTCTAACCATTAAATGCCCCCTCCGAAGCAGGGGACGGTCCCATGTACAAAACGGCACATGGACACTCCAAAATTTCACCCATGGTCACCAGCGACTGCCACCGCACAAACACTATTGGCTGCACAGCCGCGGACTGCCCCACCAATAGTGCTGCCAGAACGCACGGCCACCAATGTCTCTCTATCAGTAGTGTCCACTGGCTGCACAGTCACCGAAGCGATGCCCCACCAGCTTTCTTCTACTGAAGATAGTCCGCCGAAGCGGCCCATGGGTGAACTGAAGAAGAATTCCCAAAAATAAAAGATTTGAACACAAGTAATTCTTAGACGGTTAATAGAAAGGGTATAGAGAACACTAATTATTCGTGCCCGCATATCTTGCCAATTTCGTAACTTGCCAATAGGGCTAAAACCCCATATCTTGCCAATAATACTAAAATCCCATATCTTGCCAATAAGGGCAAAATCTTTAAAACTTGCCAATAATCTTAAAACTTGCCTTAAAACTTGCCAATAACTTGCCAATCCGGAAAAATGATTCCGGAAATGGTTTCCGGAAAAATATATTTCGGAAGTGTCGTCCGGAAAAAGGATTCCGCATGGAAAAATGTCGTCCGGAAAAAGGATTCCGGAAAAATATTTTGTACTCAACCGGCGGTACTCAACTGGCCGGTACTCAACCGGCTGGTACCCAACTGACCCCTACCCCTTTTACTTTTATTGGCAAGTTTTAAGGATTTTGCCCTTATTGGCAAGATATGGGTTTGGCAAGATATGGATTTGGCAAGATATGGGGGAGCCGAATTAGTAAACCAACATTTCTAACCATTAAATGACCCCTAAGCAGGGGCCGGTCCCATGTACAAAACGGCAAATGGACACTCCAAAATTTTTCTCATGGTCACCAGCGCACTGCCTCCGCACAAACACTATTGGCTGCACAGCCGCGGACTGCCCCACCAATAATGTTGCCAGAACGCACAGCCACTGATGTCTATCTACCAGTAGTGTCCACTGGCTGCACAGCGACCGAAGCCACTGCCCCACCATCTTTCTGCTAGAGTAGATAGTCCGCCGTAGCGGTCCATGGATAAATTGTGGGAGAATAGACAAAAATAAAAGATTTGAACACAAGTAAATCTTAGACGGTTAATAGAAAGGGTATAGAGAATGCTAATTATTCTTCCTTTTTTTAATTATTTCCCTTTCTCTTTTTCCTTTTCTCTCAGTTACTTTTCTTCTCTCTCCTTACTTCTCTCCTTTACTTTTCTTCTCTCTCCTTTACTAGTTTTTATAATTTTTCATAATAACAAATCGCTTAAAATAAACAAAATATCTACGGCGCGTTGTATTTAAAAATGGTCAAAAAAGGGAATTTTTGTAAATTGTCGAAGGGACTATTTTAAAAATTTAATTTTTATGTACATCAGGGATTGGGCGGGTTACCCGAAACCTAATATCCGAAACCCGTACTTTTTTCGACCCGAAACCCTACACGAGAAGTTTTCGAAAACCCGACCCGAAACCCGGCATTCAAATCACGTTAATTTTGAGGTCATTCGATGCAGCTCGATTTTGAATACCTTGAGAAAGAAAAAAGAGAGAGGATACGAAACCGACTATTACCCGCAGTGGTTTATCGGCTGTCAATAATTTTCGTTTTTTCATCTTAAATAATTCGTTTAAATTGTTTTTTTTTATTTTCAGTAAATAATGCTTCAAACCAAACAATTTACTCATTTTTTCTCCAAAAATGCTCTTCTACTTCCTCGTCATTAGTAAGCTAACTTTAAAAATTTTAAAATAATTTTCAAGTTCCTGGTTTTCTAATGTCGAAATGGGACCGCCAGATGCGATTTTGGGTGTTACCGAGGCTTATAAAAAAGATACAAATCCAAACAAGGTAAATTTGGGAGCTGGAACTTATCGAGACGACCAAGGAAAACCTTTCGTTTTGCCGAGTGTGAGGGAGGCGGAAGCACAAATTATCGCTGCTAAATTGGATAAAGAATATGCTGGGATTGCTGGGTATTTTTTAATGATTTTAAATTTGTTTAAAAATATTTTTTTGCGGATTTTGACATTTGCGGACTTTTTTTTGGACATTTGCGGACTTTCTCAAATATTTGAGGATTTTTAAAAATCCGCAAATTTTATCCACAAAATATTATTTTAACAATTTTTGACCAAAATTTATTCGTTTTTTTCTAAAAAGTATTTTTTAGAATCCCCGATTTCACTTCAAAAGCAATCCAATTAGCTTTGGGAGACGATTCTTCAGTGTTAAAAGAGAAGAGGAATGCAACGGTTCAATCAGTATCAGGCACTGGCGCTTTAAGAACTGGATCTGAATTTTTGGTTTGTTTATTTTTCTTCTTATTGTTAGGATCCTCTCTAGGCAACTTTCCTTCTAGATCAAGTCTCGGGTCATTGATTGATTTTTACGGATCCGCGTTCAGATTTGGGCCCAGCTGTAAAAAAAGTAAGAGGGCTCTTTTTGTCATTCTCTATACTTTCCTCGAGGCAATCGTGAAACGTTTCACCCGTGTCTGATCCAGAGTGTCCAGGGTTTTTTGATTTTTCATTGACTAGGGGTCAAGTATATAATCGATATCATTTCCTGGGATCGCCGTTTCTTCAACCTTTCAGGCGTCCAAAACACTCGAAATTTCTCTTTAAAAATTTAATTTGTTTTTTTTCAAGTCCAAATGGTTTTCTTCTTCAAAAGTTGTTTATCAACCAACACCAACTTGGGGCAATCATTTACCTGTCTTCAAATTTGCTGGAATGGAAATTAAGCGTTATCGTTATTACGACCCTAAAACTTGTGGATTTGATGAAAATGGGTGCTTGGAAGATATTTTGGCTATACCTAAAGGTTCTGTGATTCTTTTACATGCTTGTGCCCATAATCCAACAGGAGTTGATCCTAATGTTTGTTTTTTTATTTTTTTAATAAGATCTAGAAGTCACAGGCCTTTTATAGTCATCAGCACACGGGCTTGGGTAAGGGTTTGCGGTTTTTGGGAAGTTTTCAGATACCCTACCTATTCGGAACCGATATCTGAACCAAAGATTTTCGGATACCTCAAATTTTTTCGGTTCCAAATGCGCATAGCCACTAAGTCTAGTTCAGCTATTTTCCCTTTCCTTTTTTTTTCAAAAATTTTCTTTAAAGCCAGAGCAATGGATAAAAATATCGGAAGCTTGTAAACAACGCCAACTTTTTTGTTTCTTTGACATGGCATATCAAGGTTTTGCTTCTGGTGATGTAAACAGAGATGCTCATGCTGTTAGATATTTTGTGGAGTCTGGACATAATATTTGTTTAGCACAATCTTTTGCTAAAAATATGGGACTTTACGGTTTTCTTTAATTATACTTTTTGGATCTTACTATAAGCAGGGTGTGAGCCATTCGGTGGTCAAAATTTTGGCGCACTCCCCATTTTAGCCTCTCCCTGAAATCGACCCTGCTATAAGCTATGCCCCCTAAATTAGTAGCTCTGGTCTAGTTTATGAATCCATGGAACCCTCACGGTTCCATAAAAATTCTCTAGTTTTACTCCCTCCCTTATTGTGAGATTCAACCGAGATTTTAATTAAAAAGTTTTTTTATAGGTGAACGTGTCGGTACATTTTCAATAATTTGTGAAAACGAGGAAGAAGCTAGTCGTGTACTTTCTCAATTAAAAATTATCGTTAGACCAATGATTTCAAATCCACCAATTCATGGGGCACGCATTGCTGCAAAAATACTTGGAGATCCTGTTTTGAGAGCACAATGGTATGAAAAAAATTTTTTGTTTATTGGGAAAAGGAGGGTTTATCAGGAATGAGAGTAGGATAGAAGTTTTTGGAAAATTTTTAGAAAAATTTTTTTTCGGATGTCCGCAATATGTTGTCTTTTTGGAAATTAAAAAATTTTTTAAAGGCTCGTAGACGTAAAAGGAATGGCAAATCGTATAATTACAATGCGTGATCAACTCAAAGAGCTTTTAATTCGTGCTGGTTCTCAACGTAATTGGGACCATATAGTTAATCAAATTGGAATGTTTTGTTACACTGGAATTAGTCCAGAACAGGTTTTGTTTTTATTAAAAATTTTTTTGAAAAATTTTTAAATTTACTTTGGGTTTCTGGGAATTTTTGAAAAAAATTTTTGACGTCCGCAACATTTTGCGGACGAAAAATATTTTTTGCGGATTTTTTAAATTTTTTTTTTATTTTTTAGGTTGATCGCTTAACCAAGGAATTTAGCATTTATCTAACTCGAGATGGACGTATTTCTGTAGCTGGAATATCTTCAAAAAATATTGAATATTTGGCTAATGCTTTACATCAAGTTACTAAATGAATGCGAGTAATTATTTTATAAAAAGAAAAAAGAATTAATTTTAGAAAAAATTCTGAAAGGGGAAAATTAATTTTAAAAGATTTTTTAAGCTTTAGGCACTTAAAAATTTTTTGCATTTTGACATAATATTTGTAGTATTAGACAATTATGATTTTTTGTGATTTTAAATTAAATTTAAACTGGTTTTTTATTAGAAAATAAAGAGGTGCATTTAGTAATATTTTTTTTTATAAAAATATAAAATTTCCTTTACAGATTAAGGTTGGTTAAAGACTTTTGGGAAGTCCGCTTTTTTTAAAAAGCCTGCAAATTTTTTGCGGATCAAAAATCCAACTGATTTTTATCATCTTTTAAGAGTCCTCAAAGCTTTTTTTGGATGGGGGAGGGGGGGGGGAGGTCCGTAAAAAGATCGGGAACTTTTTTGGGGATTTGGTAAACTTTTTCTAAAAATAAGTAAAATTTATTTAATAAATTCTATGTAATTATAATTATAGAAAAATTAAAAAAAATTTTTTTTCAAATTTCAGTAGACGCAACATTTTGAATAAATTTTAAATTAATTTTTTTATTAATTTGTTTTTGTTGCTCATCATTACCTTCTTCATCCTCATAATTTTGTGGCATTGTAGAATAATTTCTTTTTTCTAATAAATTTTGATGTTTTTGTCCTTCCAATTGTTGTTCCTTTCCATCAATAAATAAAAAAAAATTGTCATCATCACATAAATTAGTTATTGTCCTCCTTCTTGTATTTGATGAATTTTTATTTAAAAACAATAAATTATTATTGTCTTGTGTTTCATGATTAGCTGCTTCTATTAATATTTTTAATTGTTCTTGAGTCCGTTTTTGGTCATTCTCTTGTTGTTGTTGGTTTAAATTGGTGTCGTTATGTCGTTGGTGAATGTTCCTAATTGAAGATTGCTCTGTTTCTTCCTCTTCGTTTGATGAACTTTCTATATCTACTGTTTCTGCGACATATCCTCCGTTCAGTAAAAGTTGGGTATCTTTAAGAAAAAAATTTTGAGGGGAATTTTTAAGGTCTTAAATAAGCGAAGGGTCCGAAGGGTGTACCGAAAGGTGTACCCTTCGTGTATGTTCAAAGGGTCTTAAAAATATTTTTCTAAATCAGATTTTTTCTGAATTTTTTGTTTAGTGTTCCTTTTGTAGCCCACATTCTCCTCTATCATTTGATATATAAATCAGAATTTTCGGATGATTCTCAGAAAAGTTATAGGCTCTAAAAGAATTATGGGCGGGGACGAAAAGCAAGATCAGAATACTTGTAAAAATCAGAATTTTTCTGAAGTTCTGATTTTTTCAGAATTTTTTTTTTGTTTTTTATACCCGAACTCTCCCCTATTTTCCCAATACAAATTTAATTTTATCCTCTACCTCTTTGTTTACTTTGATGGTGTTTAAATGGGCATTCACGCGAGGAAGAGTCAAATCCAGCTCTTAATTGGTCTACAAGACATGCAGTTAAAACAACCCATGCCTGACTAGCACCAGGTAAATCGCGAACAGCTTCTTGATTCCTTAAAAAATTTTTGAGAAATATAGTGATAAAAACTAACACAACAATATCAATAACCGCCTCTCCAAACGCCTCCCACAAAGCACTTGTAAACCTAAATGAGAGAAAATACAGTATACCAACTAATTCCCTTTTTAATTAGGAATGTCAATTTGATGTAATTTCAAAATGTCAAATTTTCAAAACGACAAACCCGTAAGGCCGAAGATATCCATGTGCTTGACCAAGAAGTTTAGGATCAAACCCGCCTTTAATTTTTTTTTTATTTTTAAGAATGGATTTGAGTAAACCCACTATCCGTGTCAGTCCTTTTGTTTTGCTCCACGTCCAAGTTTTTAATTGCAGCTTCAAACATTTTAACTATAAGGCGAGCCTTGAAAAATATCTTTTGAATATGAACTTTATAAAATCTTCCAGTGGAACCTCGCTTAAAGATACTGAACGTCCACTAGGTTGTCACTGGGTATTGGGGGCGAGTGTCTAGCGATACCTCTATAAGATATCTTCTATACGAGATACCTCTCGTTATAAGAGACTATAAGATACAATCTCTACCTTAAGGAGGTGAGGTTCTACCGTATTTTTTTCCCTTACATGATCTCTAGGACTAGCAATTTCACATCTAGACATTGCAGATATAAAGGTTCTTGTATTAAACATTTCTCTCATTATTGGAATTTTATCTATAAATTTTATTTTAATTAAAAAATTTATTAAAAAACTAAACGCATCATTCTTTCAAATACTTCTTCAAATACAGTTTCGATTCGTTTCCCTCCGTTTCTGGTTAATAAACGTTGCCAGGTGAATCGCAAAGCTCTTTTGTGGAGTTTTGTAAAACGATCCTCGTAATTGTAATGACGAATGGTTGAGGCTCGAAACCCTTAATTTAGGGGATTTGATAGTAAAATGCCCAATATTTAACCCCTTAGTACCTCTTCTCAAACAACAATTCCCAGAACTGTGATGGAACAATTGGTGTTGTCGTTGCTGCCTTTGATGAGCGAGCATAAGCAAATGTTGTTCTGATTCAACGATTGAAGGCATCGAGCTTGTACGTCGCATAGCTGCTGCTTTGCTTCCATATCCTGCTGGTGATGGCTCGTTTCTTTCAATTTCGTCTGAAGGCAACGAAACATCTGTCCGTTGACGAACTGCGAACCTTTAAAGGGAAAATTATTGAAAATGTCAATTAGTTGAAAAATATTTCAAAATGTCGAATGAATCATTTCATCACTTCTAACCCTATATCTTGTTGTTTATTAGCCCCATTTGTCGAAAGCAAGGCCAAGTCGTTGAAGGATCGTCTAAAAGTTCGAGCTGCATTCCATCCAATACCCGAAAGTAAGACGGAATGGACGGCTGTAGAAACTAATTGACAAGAAAGTCGACGAGTTGATTGACGTCTGGATAAGTGGAATCGTTTTGGGGGTAATGGAGAAGAACGCCCGGAAGAAGATTCTCGGGAATGTGTTATACAAGAGGAGAGACGTCGGGCAACTAGGGAAGAACGACGTCTAATATTAGACATATAGAATAGTTATATACTATGTATAAAAATATTAGAGAGTAATTAGAGGAAAAATCAGAAAATCAGCATTTTCAGAATTTTTATTTAAAACTTGAGCTATAATTCTGATAAAGTTTAATTAATGGTAAACTTAAGTTGTAAATTTCCAGAAACTTAAGTATAACTAATAAACTTAAGCATAAGCTTAAATAAAATTCGAGTTTAATTAATAAACTTAAGTTTACAAGTTTAAAAAACTTGTTTATTAATTAACTTAAATTTTCCGGAAATGTTTATATTAATATGTCTAATGTTTAAATTAAACTTTAGCTTTCCGGAAAATAAATAGAGATATTAAGTTATTTATTAAATTTTCCGGAAACACATCTTAAGTTTACAAACTTGAAAAAATTTAAGTTTATTAGGAAACTTAAGCATGATCTTGTACACACTTAAGTTTTAAGGTTGAAAAAAAGTTTTAAGTTTAAACTTAAAACTTTACAACACAGTTACTTTAAATACTATAATTTAACTATCCGCCTACTTTATTGAGTTAAAATATATTTTTTATTTATTTTATTACAAGAAAATTGTGTTCACTTCAAGCGAGACTTGGAAATTGAATTTTCTACGTCTTTAAGAGGTTGCAATATAAAATGAGAAGAATTTGTGTGTTGATTAAATTTTATTTATTTTTAGTTTCAAGGAAAGGCTTTTATGGATTATCCAATTTTAGAAAATGGAACGGGGTCATGGATGAGAAATTTTTGAATAAATATATGTAGTGTGTTGATAATTAGAATATTTTTAAAAATTACTAAAAATAAAAAAGCTCACTTTTTCGGTTTTTGATGTCGATCTTGTTGCTGTAGTTGGTTGTCCAATATAAAAGCAGAAGTTGGTGAAGTTTTCTATAAGTGAATTATGGGTTAGGCATCTTTCCGGAAATAAAATAATGTTTATTAAAGTTTATAAACTTTCCGGAAAATATACACATAATAATATATGTAGGTGTTATAAACCTTCCGGAAATACATCTAAAGTTTACAAACTTAAAAGTTTAATGTCTACAAACTTAAAACTTTCCGGAAAGTATAATTATTTCCTTCCGGAAACATCTAATGTTTATTTTAAGCTTTAGATCTTCCGGAAACTATACAAATATTATGTAGGTTTATTAAACTTTCCGAAGAACATCTAAAGTTTACAAACTTAAAAGTTTACAAACTTAACATTATAAACTTAAAATGTAAACTTAACGAACCAAGTTTACAAACTTAAAAATAATTATTTTAAAGTTTATTATTTTAAATAAGTACAAGCTGTCACCTCTCTTATATCAACATCTCCATTTCCTCCCCCATCTCCATTAATACTTTTTGGAGAGAATTCAACTAATTCAATAACAGCCAAATCATCATCAACCTCTGTATTATTTGTTTTTATTTTTAAATTTTGTTTTAAAGTTCCAGTTCTGACTGGACAATTTAATGTTGTTGTGGCAACAGCAATACTTTCAACCCCACTAACGCCTCTAGAAAGTTTTTCCCGTTGTTCGTGTTGTTTAGCTGCTGCTTTTGCTTTTTCTTCTTGTTGTTCTAATTGGTGAAGAAGTCGTCGGCCTCGAACAATTTTTGCAATTAAAAACATTTTTTATCAAATTATTTTTTAAAGCTAAAAAAGAGGGGAAAATCAGTTGAAAATGGACGTCCGAATTATTTTAAAAAATCACAACTTTTAGAAATCTTAACCAAAAATTTTAATTTTTGGTCATTTTATAGCTTAAAGTCTCCTCTATTTTTTGGTTTTTAAATTGTAATTATTGAGTGAGTTAATCAGAAGTTATAGGACTTTAAGTAAGTCGAGGTCAGCTTAAGCAACGCAGGACAAAAGGCTTTTAAAAATTCAAAACTTTTTTAAACTTTAACCAAAAATTTTTATTTTCAAGTGTTTTATAGTTCAAAATCTCCTTTATAATTTGAGTTAAGAATCAAAATTAGTGAGCAATTAGAAAAAAAGTTATGGGCCTTTAAGTGAGGTTAGGTGTCTTAAAAGGTGTCTCCATTTTAAAGAAATTATTTCATTTAAAGGAATTTATTTTTAAAAATCAGAACAAATTAAAAGATTAAATTTCCGAGGGTTTAAATAAATTTTTTTAATTTAAAATGTCGACAGATTTAACAAGAAAAAATATTTTTTAGCAAAAAATTCTAAGTAAAAGCTTTTAATTTTCTCCATATTTTAAAAAGGAGGAACAAAAAAGGGTAAAATGAGGGGAAATTTTTTGTTGTCATCAATTTTAAAAAAACATTAAAAATAATGAAAAAATAGGGGAATTAATGGAAGGAAGGAATGGAAGCATAAAAATAAAAAAAAATAAAAAAAATTTTGTGGGAGAAAATATTTATTTGTAGTATTGTTTTTCTTCCTATTTTTCCACTTCATTTAAAAAATAAATAATTTTTTAGTTAAGCCGATATTTTGGTTTTTTAAATTTTTTTTAAATTCTTGTTTTTTGTTTTCTCATGAAAAATACATTTTTTAACATGGGGAAAGTCTGGGAATTTTTAAAATATTTTTTTTTATTTTTTTATGTTGAAATATATTAAAATAATTTTTATATTTCTTGAAACTAAAGCCATAAATGAAAATTAAAAAAGGGGATTAAATGACATGAAAATATATTTTTAATTAATTGGAGAAAGAAAATCCCCTTCCATAAAAATATTTTACTATTTTTAATTAAGATGATTTTTAAAGAATTTATGGATTATGGCAAGTAAATCTATTTTGGTTTAAATTTAGAAATAAATGGGGTATTTTAGCAAAAAATATTTTTTTTATAATTTTTAGAAACTAAAAGAAATTTTTAATTTTTGATTAATTAATAGCTTAAAGTCCCCTCTATTTTTTGGTTTTTAAATTGTAATTATTGAATGATCTAATTAAAAGTTGTAGGACTTTGAGTAAGTCGAGGTCAGCTTAAGAAGCGCACGAACAAAGGGTTTTTAAATTTTAAGAATAGGGCCAGAGAATAAGTATTCACAAAATTAGTCTATAAAGACCTATAATTTTTGCCTTTTAAAAAAACTTTTTTAATGTAAAAAATATTTTTATATATCCATTTCTAAGAAAAACTTAAAGTCAAGTTCGTGACTACAACCAATCTTTAAAAAATTTGTAAAAAAACTTTTTCACAAATTTATCCATAAATTAAGTATATTTATTCCTTCAGATTTCTTTTTTAACTTTTAATTAATTTTTCATGTTTTTTTTGAGTTTTAAACTTTGGTTTTGTGTGTTTTGTTGACCTGTTTTGACTAAATCCTAAGCCTTGGCACATGCAAGTTACTAACATTTGAATGAACACAACTAAGGGTAAAATTAACCGATTAGGCTGATTTTGGTATTTTTGGATAGAGAATTGAATGGGCTATAAAATGATAAAAAGATAAAAATTTTAAGCGGAAAGGAAAAGAAGTTATGGTCAAAAAACCGTGAAAAAATGGAATTTTTGTCAAAGGAAAGGAGGTTTTAAGGCTTGTATTAATTCCTAGTTTGCCTAACTAGCATATAAATACCCCTTATTTAGCTTAAAAAAGGATTCTTTAAATAAAAAAATTTTTTCTAATAAAAAAAGAGATTTTTAAACATTAATTTTATATAAAAAATATATGGTTGCATTACATTTATTTAAATAATTTATTTTTCGGTTTATTTACTTTGGCTTTATGCCTAAAATAAAAAAAGAAAAAAATATTTTATTCAAAAAAATTAATCAAAAATTCTCTTACCTATAAAGTAATTTAATATTTTAGTTAAAAATATATACTAGTTAATATCTGGTAGTCACGCTTATTTTTTGATGTCTTGTGATTTATTAATAAAACTTGAAAAAGTTTCTAGGAGAATTAAAAAGGTTGTAATGATTATAAAATAATAATGAAATTGAAATTAAGTTTACAAACTTGAGGTAATCCGGAAAACTTAATTATTCTGAAAGAAGAATCCGGAAAATAATTTTAAATTAAGTTTACAAACTTGAAGTTTTCCGGAAAAAGAGAAGTAAACTGAAATAAGTATTCCGGAAAATAATAAGGAGAATTAAGTTTACAAACTTGAAGTTTCCGGAAAAACTTGAAGTAATTTAGAAAAGTAATCCGGAAAGTAATACAAACTTAAGTTTACAAACTTGGATAGAAAAAGTTTTATTTTAAAGTTTAAATAAACTTAAGTTTACAAACTTGGATAGAAAAAGTTTTATTTTAAAGTTTAAATAAACTTAAGTTTACAAACTTGAAGCTTTCCCTTTGGAGACAGGTAAAATAAGACTAACAAATTTAAGGGCAAAGTTAATGCCAGAAAATAAGTTTAAGAAACCAGGAACAAAAAAATTTTTTTTTATATTTGGAAATAAAAAATAAAATAAAATTTTTTGAATAAATAATTTTTATATAAATTTACTGGACCATAATAAAACAAAAAAATAAAGGTAAAAAACACAAAACCCCTCAAATATTTTCAATCTGTTCTGCCAACCATAAATTTAATGGAAAGGGCAAAGTGTGTATAGAAAAAGATTAATGGATTATTGTTATGTAAATAAAAATGAAAAAATAAAAAAAATAGAGGGAAATGAAAGAAAAAAGATTAATTAATGCTAATATTAAAAAATAAAAAAAAACTAGGAAGCAAAATTAGAAGGAAATATTATTTAAAAAGGATAAGGCTTATAAGCATTTGAATATTGCATATTCAAGCCTGTCATTACCAGAAATAAAATAATTTATTCTGAAATTAAAGAAATTAAAATTGGCAATTTTTATTTATTATTGAAGGAATTCTGCTAATAAAAAAGGAAGAAGAATTAAATCAGAATTTTTAATTAAATCAAAATTGTAATTATTTTACAATTGTAAAATAAATGAGAATTAATAAATATATTGTTTCCGGAAAATAATAATAATAAGTTTCCGGAAATGGAATAATAATATTTATTCTTCCGGAAAAAAATAATAAATAAATATATTGCTTCCGGAAGAAGAATAACTTCCGGAAAAAATAATAATATTTATGGGAGTATTGTACATATTTATTAAGAGAATTGTAAATATCAGAATTATCAGAACAAATAAGCATAGGGAAAATTTAAATAAACCAAAATTATAAATATTGATGTAAGCATATTTTCCACTAATTTTTTATCAATACTTTTTAAAGCATAAAAGAGATGAATTGAATTTTATAAAAAAAGGATTTTAAATAAAATAAAATTTTTGTTGAAGGTAGTGACAGTGTGGGAGAAAAACCATTTAAAGAAGTTTTGTTTTACTAATTGCTAATTATCAATATTAAATGATGTGAAGAAAATTGGCTGTAAAAAGGACAGAAAATTTAAAAATAGAAAGAAAATATTTATATATACAAATGTTGAAGATTTTTAAAAGGATTTTTAAGGACATTTTTGGGGTAAAAAAGAGAAGCTAAATTCAGGTTTATTTTTAAGGTAAATAATTTTAAAGTTTTATTTTGTGTGGAAAAATGTTTTAAAGAGGAAAATAAACTTTTTTCGGAAAGCTGTAATTATTTATTGTTTCTTTCCAAAGTTATCCCATTACTAAGTCCATTCAATACAACTTTTGAATATGTCAATCCCACTGGTTTTAGATGCATCAAATGATGCACGTTCGAATGTCCTCGAACATTCTACAGGAGCGCGTTTTGTGGTATCGAATTGCACATGGATCTGCAGTAGCTCATTCGATAGAGCATTAAAAGCTGTATATAATACCTACTTTTGGAAAGTTTTGAATAACTTTTGAAAAAAATTTTATGATAGAACAAAAAAAATTAATTTTTTTAAATACTCGAACATTCTACAGGAGCGCGTTTTGTGGTATCGAATTGCACATTGATCTGCAGTAGCTCATTCGATAGAGCATTAAAAGCTGTATATAATACCTACTTTTGGAAAGTTTTGAATAACTTTTGAAAAAAATTTTATGATAGAACAAAAAAAATTAATTTTTTTAAATACTCGAACATTCTACAGGAGCGCGTTTTGTGGTATCGAATTGCACATTGATCTGCAGTAGCTCATTCGATAGAGCATTAAAAGCTGTATATAATACCTACTTTTGGAAAGTTTTGAATAACTTTTGAAAAAAATTTTATGATAGAACAAAAAAAATTAATTTTTTTAAATACTCGAACATTCTACAGGAGCGCGTTTTGTGGTATCGAATTGCACATGGATCTGCAGTAGCTCATTCGATAGAGCATTAAAAGCTGTATATAATACCTACTTTTGGAAAGTTTTGAATAACTTTTGAAAAAAATTTTATGATAGAACAAAAAAAATTAATTTTTTTTAAATACTCGAAAATTCTACAGGAGCGCGTTTTGTGGTATCGAATTGCACATGGATCTGCAGTAGCTCATTCGATAGAGCATTAAAAGCTGTATATAATACCTACTTTTGGAAAGTTTTGAATAACTTTTGAAAAAAATTTTATGATAGAACAAAAAAAATTAATTTTTTTAAATACTCGAACATTCTACAGGAGCGCGTTTTGTGGTATCGAATTGCACATGGATCTGCAGTAGCTCATTCGATAGAGCATTAAAAGCTGTATATAATACCTACTTTTG